AGACAATAAAATTACAACATTTAACCAACTGAATAACTGAGAAGGGGAAGAAAAAAAAGAGAAAAAAGCTGGCGTACCGAATGGAAATGTACAAATGCAAATCCCCTTGAAACATGAGTAAATTTGTCTCTAACAAGACGAAGATCCTGCAAAATAATATCAATAAATCTCCGATGCACACGCTAGAAAGAAAAAAAAAAAGTCTTGTTTAACTTGAAGATGACACTAAATGAATAAATAAAAAGAATTCAATTTGTTCAGCATTTGCACCTTAATTGCAGCATGTTTGGAAAATTCATAGCGCAGCATTTCCTCATCAGCATTTTCATCCAGTCCGCGAACAACCAAAACATGAGTAGGACCTAATGACATATATACTCAGTTAAGTTCATAAAAATTAATACTTAATTACACCAGCTAAAAGAAACAAGGGTAGACTAACCAGCTTCAGATCCTTTCTTTGCTGAAGTCATTTGATTGGATAAAGAAATATCTGCAGCCGGAGCATCCTCAGTTCGTGCCTTATTGCACTGCAACAAAGGAGGAAAACAGAGACTCACTAACCTACATGAATTTTCTTTTTCTTTTTTGATAATCAACTTACATTAATTATTCTTAAGAAAAAATAAACTAATTCACATACATTACACAGTTATGCATGTTGAAAATTTTGTTTTCTAAAATAATAAAACAATAAAAAATTTCTTTTCTATTGTACCATAGTTATATATTTACTTGGACACAAAAGATTTCGTTCCCAAAGCACTGTATCTAAACATAGCAGAATTGAAATTCTCAGTAACTCCAAGGAATCACCATGTAAAAGCACGTATTAAAGTAATTAAATACCACAAAAGCACAGAAGGTCTTTAACAAATCCACCTTAAAGCATATAATGGAATATTTCCAAGCACATAAGTGCAACTGTTCTTCCCAGAAAAGGCAACATTGTTGGTATGCATTTAGCACTTTACTATTACATGATGGAGGGTTAATTCGTCAAAATATATCAAGACAAAAAGAAATTAATACCTTGTAACGGAAAAAAAAATACACACCTGAAAGCAGGATGTCCGCCGTGCAAAATTAACATATTCACAACTAATGCACATCCAATCAGAGGGCACTGTGATGCTTTTACGGTTATTATGGCCTGATTTCACAGCATTCTCCTGACCAAAAGATCCACCTGCACCCCCAGTCGGCTTACTACTGCAACAAAACACAGTTCAAAACGGAAATAAGTACACTCAGAGAAAAATAATATGGGTCCCATTCCAGGGACAAAAACAAAACCACACTTTCAGCATATGCATAATCTGACAGCTGAGAATACATCTGACACAGAAAGAAAATCCTTTATTTATTGAGGCATTAAGTATCCGCACACCATGCAAGATGTCCTTTATTGTTTACGTTAACTATGCAGTCTTCTTCACCTTTACCAAATTTTACCCTTATCACCACCAGAGAAAAAATAAAAAATTAAAAGTTCAAAATTAAAAAAGACTCTTCATCACTTTCTTCCTTGCTTTGATCAAAGTTCATGTTGATTGAACACGGGAATAAGACGCAATTTGGCCTTCCTTTTTTGTGTTGATAGAGGGGGATGGAGAAAGTGGACAAAACAAACTGGCATTTCCCAGTGAGGTTCAAATAACCAAGAACACGACCATCCCTCTCCAACCCAATATTTTTATAAATCTGCATTTCCAGTTCTCTTGAATTCGAGTTCTACTCACTTCTTGTATCTACTTTGTCATCAGTTATATATATATATAAAATAGACGGTTAGGATTAGCGAAATACAATGCGGAGTGAGCCCTACAAGGGTGTCCCTCAAATAATGAGGGATCCCTCAATGGAACCTCTCTCTGTGTATATATATATATATATATATATATATATATATATATATATATATATATATATGTGGACATAATATCCACCACTTAAAGAACATGGTTCTTTCCGGTAAAGTAGGACCAACCTGTACTCAAAAAACAGCTTTCGGCCATCCACCACAAGTCCATCATCCCCAATCTTGTCCATCATAGTGCATGCTGCTCCCTATTAAACAAACAGAAACTCCATTGTGAATTATTTTTATTCAAATCAAATGTAAAACATTTATATGAAAAGAATGATACATACCACAGAAGGAAAATCAATAAAAGCAAATCCACGAGAGATGCCAGAATTACGTTCTTTGATCACACGGACATGTCTAAGGGGTCCCCATTCAGCCTGAACGAGATACAAATTGCAAGGTTATCAAAAGGTAGAGAGAAGTAGAAATGTGGTATTCATAGCAGAAACAACAGATGACATATTACAAGTATCTGGTATAGATCTTCTTCAGTCGTCTTCTGTGAAAGACCCTTCACAACAATAGTTGCAGATGGGGCCTACAAAAGAACATCATACAGTAAGTCATCCTGCATACAGTAAACACATAGGCAATTAGGTTGAACAGAAAGATGCAAAATATACCACAGAATAATGCTCTCTCTGGCGTTTCTCGTCACGGTCCCTTCGCCTATCAGTTCTCTCATGCCGTCCATCATCATAGCTGTCCTCTTGATGACTTCGTCCATGGCTTCGACCTCTAGGGGACCTTGATCTAGGACGATCATCATGCCCACGAGAAATGGACCGAGAGCGAGAACGCTCATGCCTTCTATGTGGACTCTGTTCTCTTTCCCTACTCAAACATTTCTTCTCACGCTCCCGGTCACGAGATTCACGAGATCCACGACGCCTCCAATTGCTATCTCTCCTACTACCTCTGTCATAATCAGAATCATAACTGTGTCGGCCATAGTCATAATCCCTTTCACGACTCTCCTCCCTGTTTTGATGGGTAGCACGGGACCTATAGTCGAAATCATCATACGCGTAATCATCACGATCACGTCCACCAAGCCTTGCAATCCTGTCAAATCCAGGATCACGATAGCTATCAACACTGCGATAGCTATCTCGAAATTTATCAAATTCCTGAAATGTATCAATCTCATGATCACGAAAGTTATCCATCTCATGATATGAATCAATGTATTGTTTCTCATGTCTCCTATCCCTATCAACGGGAATTTCTTCTTCATAACTTCTTCTTCTTGAATGTGGCCATACACCAACAGCATGAGGTGGTGGTGGATAGTTATCCCTATCCAAAACATCGCGGTGAAAAGCATTTCTTGGATAGACGTTGTCCCTTGAGTATCTTTCATCTATAAACCTCCTTTCATCATATGAACCACCGACCCTGCCAAAAAAAAATTATAATATGGAACAAAAGGAGAAGATATAATGTAACACAATGCACCCGATTAAAAAGATTGATGACAAAATTAAAGGGAATATTCAGACAGTACCAATGATAGATATTGGTACACAACCATTAATGAAATTTGGCCAGTAGAACTAAAAAGTTAATCTCAATCTGCTCTTCATACAAATTTAAGTAGCCAATTTTACCTATGAGTTCTAAATTACCGTAATGAAGATGAAAAGCAAAGCGTGTAGCACTCACCGAAAGTTTGGCTCATGGACTGCAGCATACCCCTCCAGAGCCTGTGGATTCAAGAGAATAAGGTAATGTCAGCAACAGATCAATGATGATATGAGGTTAGGCAAATCCAGTCAGTCCATATCCTCATTGCCCCATGGCTTTCTCTCATTTTTCTCCCAAAAAAATGGACAGTCAGATTGGGCCCTAATAAATTCTTGTATTTATCATGATTCATCCCATATAGGTGATTTATTAAGGAGGAAACCACAATTACGCTGTTATTATCCCATCCTTGCTGAAGACCATAGCGACCGGGATCCATTTCTTTCTTGCATGCAAGCAAAACTCGACAAAGCGCTCGATGATGATATCGTTCAGAATTTGAATACCTTTCCTGTAATATAATGCACAAACAGACACACACAGTTATGCCCGTGATGAACCAAGCACCTACAATTCCCATGACTTTGACCTTGTTGGCCTCCCTTTCACAAGTCACAACCGGAATAACCAAAATCCTTTCCACAAAGTCCCAATTCTCTTAACACACAATACCTTCGACAGAAGATACCATCAGCTTATATACATACAATCCATTCAATCAAAACTTGAAGAATCAATATGTTAGACTTAGCTCATAGATGACGAAGCGTAACTGACCCATTTACACAGGCTTCATAAAAATCCTAATTAAAAAACTAAATTACCTAAAAATAAGACTAAACTCTGATTGAACCAACTAAAACCCTTAAAAGGAACTTCAAAAAAAGCCAATGCAGACCTGAACGAAATCAAACCGACAATTTTTAAAAACAAAATGGATGAAGATAATCACATAATCGTAATTGACCCAAAGTCCACTGCTTTTTTGAGCAATATACCTCAGGGCACAAAAACAATGCCCTGAATTTCAACAGAAATTGGAGACAACTCCATTCAATTCAAAAACCTCGTTGAGGACAACGGCTGACTAAAATTGGAAAAAAGGGTACAATAATTTGCATCAGAAATTTATTTTTCATTATTTTTTTTATTAAAAAAAAAAAAAAATGAGTTTCGCAAAATTGAAAATTCCTGCAATTAGGAACCTCAGGTAGCATCACAAACCCAGAGGAAGAAGAAGAACCAAAAGCTTACCGTAGATCCTAAGCTTCAGATCTCAGGCCAACTTTTGCACCCTCTCTCTCTCTGTCCGTCTACTTTCTTCTTCGTCCGTCGGCTGTTGCTCGTTTCGACCAAAATAAATTACTCCTAGATTATTGAACTTTTCGTTATTGCAACTCACGTGCTAGGCAAGCACCTGATCGCATGGGCCTATTTCAATTTGGAGTATTTTTCTTTAGTCTAGCTGATTAGACCACGGCCCAATATATAACCCGAAGCTTGATGACGTGGCATCTCTTTAAGTGGTTGGATCATTAGCACGGCTGAGATGTAGCGAAATGGGGGGTAAATGTACAATACGTAAATGTATAAAAGCCAGTTTGCGAGTTCGCGCGCCCGAAACCTTGTGCGGCTGCAACAGTCTCTCTGTGTCTCCTTCAATCTCTCCATCATGCCCCGTTCCCTGGCGCTCACAGCTGTTTCTATTCCCCTTCTGCATAACCCGGTAAGCATCCTCCCATTACTGCCTTTTTTATTTATTAATTCTTTTCCATTTCATTTCAGTTCTTTTCTTACTCTTGTAGTAGTCTTATCTTTCCTGGTGGTGTTTAGGGCTGCAATGAGTTCTCGTACTCGAGCAACTCATGGGTTTCATTGGCAAAGCTCAGCCACATTTCGCTGAATCGTAAGAACCAATTTCAGCGATTCTCCTCACTCAATGGCAACGACAATGTCAATGTGGGTTCTTTACTTTATTGTTCAACATTGTGTAGTGTCTTGCATCATTTTAATTTTGAGTCAAATTGGACCCTGCCCATATTGCATTTGGATGAAAATACTAAATTTTGGGATTACCCAATAGAGGTCTATTGCATTTGGATGTATAAAGTATGGAATTATGGAGGAAGAAAGATGAAATTAGAGCAGAGGAGGATTTAGAATTCCACACAAATTTAATGCATTTCAGAGATAGTTCAATTGCTTAAGGTGACTTTAATTGAATGTTTAGGGGAAAATATACATTATAGAGACAACAATGACTTACAATGCTCCCATAAATGTTATTGAGGATCATCAACTGAGTAGCTAATGTAAGGTGTACTGATGATGCTGACAAGAGTTACAAAATTAAACATTTCTCTTTCTATTCACGTTGTTACCTATGTAAATCATGAACTGCTTTATAAGAATTAATGTGTTACTGGCATTATAAGCTAAAAGATTGGATACGTTATACATCAGATGTGATTCTTTTACTTTGTTTATTTAATTTGGGTAAATAATGTTGTCAAACTACCATTACTAGGTGAAGTGTGCTTTCTACTTGCTTATACTTCAGTGAAAGACAAACATCGTTTTATAATATAAGAGAAATTGAAGTATGTGTCACTGTTTGCAGTTTTCCTCTGTCCAACTCACCTGGAAAACCCAGAAAAATGTCACCTTTTTATGTCTAAGTTAGTCCCTTGGGTTTACTGTTGATTAAATATATTGGGCGTACAGTGATGTTATGAGCCTAAATAACTATAAAGTATGTATTTCATACAGTTTTAGTATTAGTTTGGGGATCAATGAAAATACATAATAAATGCGAGTGTGTGTAGGGGCTTGAACATGGTGGATGGTGGCGTTGCTGTTATGTCGTAAATATTTTCCTCTTTAGTTTAGGTTGAAGTAAAATAATCTGATAGAATGGTGTCTCTGTGTTCTCTTTCGTGTGTGGACAGGGCTATGGGTTGTCAGATGCTGAAAGCTTCTCCACTAAATCTCAAGGTATTTAATATTCTTAGATGATTATAGGATATCTTGAAGATATATTATCTGGCCGATTTAGCCGGAAATTATGGTGTTTCTTTATTTAATGAGATTAATGTTGGTTGGGCGTCGCCAAAAGAATGTTTTTCTTTGCTTGGAGAGAAATTTAAAGTATTGGGTGGTGGAAAGAAGGCTAAAGTATTATGGGGCTGTATGATGGTGGCTATCATTTCGCTATTTGGTCGGAAAGAAACCAACGGATCTTCGAATATGTTAGGGGATGGAAGTGGAGGAGGTGTGGGAGAAGGTTAAGTATTGGGCAGCGCTTTGGGCATCTGTTTCTTGTGATTTTAGGAACACTTCTGTTCCTGACATTGTTCTAGACTGGAAAGCTTGTAGTGTCTTGAATATGTTTTGGTTTGTTAAACTAGATGTAGTGTCTTGAATATGTTTTGGTTTGTTCTCTCATATATTCATGGTGGATTGCTTATCTACGTTGCTGTACAGCTTCTTTTGTGAAATAAAATTTCATCTTTTCATTTCATAAAAATAAAAAAAATGTAAATTGTGATGCTTTTCCTATCCTCTCCTTGTATCCATTTGTAGGAACTAATGATTTCCCAAATTTTGATTTATTTTAGGGGCAATTGGAAATAGTGATAGTGGTCAAGGAGTACCTGTCACATCCAACGAGTACTTTCTACTTGCCTTACAATGTTTTTGGTCAATACTAAAGGCTACTGATTTTTGTTAGTTATGTAATGAGGGTGAGTTAGTATTTGAACTCATATTTATCTTACTCTGTTTTCTAAATACATACCTGACCTATTAGCAAATTAGTCACAGCTGAGGGCTATCCAAAAGGTAACATTTATGAAGTGGGAATTAGTCACCTGGTTAGTCAGTCACTTAGATGATTAAATATAAGATCTGTAGCTGAGTGAATTTTTAGGAAGTCTTCCTATGGAATGGTTTTTGTCTGCTCGATATCTCTATGATGGTGAAGGTAATCTCATAAGCAAATTAGGTATACTAAAGCTAGATCCTTCAATTGAGGAGGTAACTTTTTTTAAGACAGTCACAATGACGTGTGAGTATATTGATACCTATTTCCTGATTTTCATCCATACGGATAGGGCTTTCAAGAACCCAGGTTCAAGCTTGTGAAATAGTGCCCACATTGTGTTGTGTATACCTGTCAATTGACGCAAACAATAAATAAATAAATATAAGTAAAAGGAAACCTTTTCTGAGATAGGTACACCTTTTTGTTTTATTCTTTTATCAAGATTTGTAGCTTCTAAAAATTTATTTTGACATGAGGAATTCTAGTCGTTGCTTTGTCGTTCTAGTCATTTAATTATAATGTCAAAATTTCTCCTGATTGGTGTGAGATAGCACAATTTAGTGCACTGAATAGGCACCTTTCCAGTTTCTACTAGATGGTAAAGAGGATGATATTAGATGATGTGCAAGTATTACAATTTACAGTACCATCTAGAGTTATACAATATTTAACGGGCATTCACAATAGATTTAGTGTCTACAAGCATGGTTTTTTAAGCAATATGTTTCAGATGTATCCCATGTAATGAGTTGATGTGGCCACTTTGTAGACTTTTCTCATGGCATGTATGAAGTTTTGTTAAAGATTCAAGTTAATATTAAGTTATTAACACTCCGTAGTCCGTAGGGACCTCAACAGTACCTAAAATTAGCAACCCACTAGATAGAAAGTTTATATCAGTTTTACTTTATTTTTCTCTTTTTAAACTCTACCTTTAATTGCTTCTAGATGTTTGAATGTCAAAATGGACCATTTGGTTGTTATGTGGTTTTTTTTCTTTTATTTATTTATTTGTATTATATTCCTTTTTATTTTTTAAACCAAATTTCTGTTCATTGATAAGTTCAAAATTGTACCTTACATTTGGTTAGCCTTGCCATCTTCTTTCACTTTTCAACCTTCATTGAGCCTTTATGATGCTCTTTTTCTTGTTTGTTTAACTTGCCAGGATTTTAAAGAAGTTAAGGAGATACGGGATATCTGGATTATTGTCATATGGACTATTGAATACTGCTTACTATCTTACGACATTTCTGTTGGTATGGTGAGTGAAGTATCTCCAAATTAGCTGTATTGGTAATATCTTCTGGCTTGTATTAAACATCATAGTATTACAAGTTACAACCAATATCCCTATAAAGGACCACTCCATTTCGCAGTTTTCCTGAACTCTATTGGCCTTACCCGAGCATCTGTTTCTATGACTTGGTTTTCTATTCATTGATTCTGAAAAGCTTCTTTACATTGGCCCTTTTAAATTCTAATGCGATTCTATCGCAGTACTTATTGACTCATAGGGGATTATATATATATATTAGTCTTGGTTTGTTTGTTGTGCATATGGATATCATGGTCTAGAAGTATTAACTCTTAGGGATTTTATAGCCTTGCTTTCTAAGTGTCATCATGCTTCTTTGTGGCAGTCAAAGTATTTTCATTTGACGTCCACATTTGAAGAAAATAAATTGGGTGTTCAGTGCTACTACTGGATACTACAATGTACTAATAAGGCTCCATAAATTGTATTATTATTATTTATTATTATATTGCCTATGCAGTTGCTCATGTAAATTTAGTGGAATAATTGCAACTCTGAACTGTTTTCTTTTCCTTTTAGGTTCTATGTTGCTCCAGCACCTGGGAGGATGGGTTACGTCCCAGCTGTTCAGAGGTACTTGTTCATATATGAATATCGCTGAATTTTTTTTCTTTCCAGGTTATGCAATTTCTTCAAGTCTAGCATTGAAATTAACACTTGGTGATTTGCAGATTTCTCAAAGTAATGGCCATGGTGTGGGCCGGAAGCCAGGTCACCAAGCTTGTACGAGCTGGAGGGTGAGTTGCTAGATCCAATAATTCATTTTTTTAATTTGTTAGTTTTATGAAAATATAGTCATAGTTTTCATGATTTTTGAGTAGCCAAGACTTCTGCTGCTTCGGATTTTCCTGGTTTTTCAAGTATAATTAGCCCTGGTTCTTTATCTAATCCCTGAAAAATGCTTAATAATTAGTTGTGGCTGGATGTGTTGAGTTAATTTAAGGATCCAGTTGTTAACACCTATGTTTGGATTGTTAATGTGCGTGATTAAAGTAATAGCTCACATTAAAGGTTCATTTCTCAAGCATAGGCTGTTACTTGAAAAGAACCTAAAAGTAATTTTAATATGTGTCACCCACAGCAACCGGTGCCAAAAAGGTTGGCAACTTCTTTTGTCAGAGTTGGCTGTGAAATGCAATTTCGATTTTGTGAGAGAAATATATAAAATCTAATTATTTTTTTTCGTTTGATGATTTTATTGCTGCCAAGTATGTATGAATGTTTAGAATGTGATCTTGTGTTTCTTATATGAGTTAACAAGGACCATTTGATGCAGGGCCCTTGCTCTTGCTCCTTTTGTAGATAGGGGACTGTCATGGTTCACTGTCAAGTTCCATTTTGAGTCTCAGGGCAAGGTGACAATGAATTTTCAAAATTCTATTATATGTTCTGATTACAAGCATCAATCTCATTTCATTCCAATTTCCAGGCTTTCGCCGCGATTGTTGGAATTTGCTTCGGACTAGCCCTCGTTTTATTTTTTGTTGTGACGTTGCTTTGGGCCTAAAGCCATTTCTGGTTTCTGTTCTCACTCCATGGCAGGAAGTCATCATCTATGAATATGATATTGGCTTCTTTAGATTTCCTTTCGTGTTTCTCCATCTATGTTCTGTTTTGTTTTTTTTTTCTTTTTCTGTTTCTTGTTTCTCCTGGAAAATGTAGATTTTTTTGCTGTATATGCACTTACCATGAGTGTCAAATTTTTGTCAATCTACTATTAATTTTTTTTGTTACATGTATTGTATCGGTACTTTGTATGTTAAGGCAACCTATGCAGATATGCGTAATTACCAAGTAATATGTTACCAAGATTGCTAATTTTAAATTGCATGACTATCTGCCAACGGGGTGTAGTCCAGTAGAAATGAGTCTTGACTTGTAGTTGCAGACTAGAGGGCTCAGGTTCGAACCACAACATCATAGTTGTGCGTGTGTGAGAAATTCCCTCATATCGCTTGTATAAAATAAAATAAAAATTTGCATGACTATCTATGCATACAATATTTACGGATCTTTACGTACATATATATAAAAATAAAATAAAAAATAATTTGTAAGATGGCACCTTGGCTAGAAAGTTGAGCTTAGGGATGTTGTCAAACAAGTGCCAGCGTATCCTATGGCTTGCTTTCATTTCCCTGAAGGTACCTGCAACCAAATCAACAGTGACTTGGCTTCCTTTTGGTAGGGAAATAATGAGGAGAGCGCTGGAATTCATTGGAAATCATGGAAAAATTTATGCTTGGCCAAGAAAGCGGGAGGTTTGGGTTTTCGTGACTTGTCCAATTTCAATTTAGCTCTTCTTGCCAAGCAAAGTTGGAGAATTATTTTGAATCCGGAAGCTGCTTGGGTTAAGATCTTGAAAGCGCGTTATTTCCCTACGACTGATTTTCTAAATGCAACAAAGGGTTCTCGCCCTTCATGGGCATGGGTTAGCCTTCTTGAGGGAAGAAATGCTATGATGAAAGAAGCACGCTTCCAAATTTTCAGCGAGGCTAACACGAATATCTGGAACGACTGCTGGATCCCTTCACGAGAGCCAGGTCCTGTGCAAACTGTGTTGCCCGATCCCTCCTCAAGCCCCTCAATTGGTCCAGGAAATAATGGACAAACAGAACCACACCTGGAAGCTGGATAGTATCTCCACCTTCATCAACAATGACATTTTGCAGAACATCAGATGCATCCCCATTGGTCACTCATCCAGACCTGATCGCCTTGTTTGGCCATGGAATTCAAGTGGCTCGTATACTGTCAAGTCGGGGTACCACCGCTTTCATGCAAGACACAGCACCGACATTGCAAGCCATAATCATTCCTCTCATATTGTCTCAGAAAAGGTTTGGAAGAACATATTGAAGGTGGAGACTCTCCCAAAAATAAAACATTTCCTTTGGAGAGCTCTCTTTGGATCCATCTCAACCAGACTTGCCCTTTTTAAAAGAAAAATTGCAATTGATCCCACCTGCCCAATTTGCAAATGTTTCGAAGAATCGGTGGAGCACATTCTCTTCTTTGCCCGTGGACTCAACTTGTGTGGTTTGGCTCTGACCTTTCCTACAAAGTTGACCCTCGAAGGATCTCGACTTTTGATAGATGGATTGATGGCATTATTGGATTCCTGGCACCTCAATAACTGAATGCAAATTTCTATTATCGCTACTCAGCTTCTTATGCTCGGAAATCTGGAAAGCAAGGTGCAAATACATTTTCAATGGGTCTCGCCCTGATCCGAGGCGCGTGATCACCCATGCTAGAGATGCTTGCTTTGAATACTTAGCGGTTGTCTCCAAGATTGATGCAAGAGGGAACCTCTCTCCTGTCCCTCATGTCCAAAGAACCCGTTGGGCTAAGCCAATCCCAAATTATGTAAAATTCAACTTGGATGGTTCTTGGTATCCTGGCACGATGAAGGGCAGCATTGGCATTGTGTCTCGCAATTCCTTTGGTGAATGGTGTGGAGGTCTTGCTTCCCCACTTTTATGTGTCTCATCACTTAGTGCAGAAGCGGCTGCTGCTCTATGCGCTTTACACCTTGCCAAAAACAGGGGTTATCTGAGAGTCATCATGGAGGCAAATTGCAAGGTGTTAATAGACTGCATTACTGGTAATCATGGTAACAACTCCTGGGCTGTCCTTCCTCTTATTGACGAAATCCATGATGTGGTTTCGAGCTTCGAAGAGGTGACCTGGTCCTGGGTGCCTAGGAGTGCAAATCGTGCAACTCATGCAGCGGCGTCGATAGGTAACAGAGCTATGGAACTGCAAAGTTGGGTCGACAAACCACCATCGTCTCTCGTTGGGGTTCTAACTTCTTATGGTTTGCCTTGTCCACCTCATGATGCATCTGCTGTTTAGTTTTATTATCTCTTAGTAACTAGTTTGCTGGGTAGGGACTGTTGTTCTAGGCTCCGATGGAATCTAGCCATGTCTATGTCAAAACATCTAACCCTGTTTTGCTATTTGTTTCTTGCTTTCTGTTGGCTCCTCGTGGCTTTAGCCTTCAGTTTGTATCTCTATTCCCTGTTTTGGGGTTTCTTGAATACAACATGAATTCCAGACCAAAAAAAAAAGAAAGAATACAAACACATCTGAATGTATCATTGCTTGCTGGAAATTCCTCCTCACCGTTTGGTTATCACTAGTTCTAATAATACTCTCTTACCACCCACGATTATCATTTGCAACCTATCATTTTTTATTAGAAAATTAAGTAATTTAGCTAATTTTTCCCCTTGTTAATTATTCTCACATTCCATCCTAAAGGTGTTAAATGGGCCATGTTGGGCCGGCCCGACTTGTTTAGAGTCGGCCCATTTAATAAACGGATCGTGACTGTCACGACCCGATTCGAAAATAAGGAATATTCCCGAATCATGGTGTGAGTCATACCATAGTCATAAGAATAAAATCCTACAACCATGATATGATGAAAAATAGAGCCACAAATAATTACAAATTTACTTAACATTACAAAATCAGAGTCGCAGTAGCTTGTAGTTAACTAAATACTAGGATCTTTAACAAACGGTTGACTACTTACAAATATTAATTACACAAATCAACAATAAAAGCCCAGCAGCTTAGTTGAACCCGCTTCCTCAAACTTCTTCTTTAATCCTGCACAATCTTTTAGGGTATGAGCATTCTACTGCCCAGTAGAGTACCGTCAAACCCCTCAAAGTCAGCTATCACAATTAATCAAAGTGTCATGCATCAAGCAACACAAGGTATATGATAACTATGTAATCAGACCGGATAAATAAATTTGCATATGCGATGATGTCATGAACTCACTCCCTTCTAATTCCACTAATTCATATCCTAGGGCAACAAGCCTGCATGTCCCATACCATGCGTTTTACCACTGTGGCTCCGAATACCCTAAAAAATGAACTAGCGCCCATCCGTCCCTTAACCCATTTTTCTTTTGTTTACGAATTTCTCAACTTTCACTTA